AGTTTTTTTTTTGTAACAAAAGCATGAAAAATGGTCTAAAGCTGAAAACACAGTAGGTGGAAGCTACTCCGACTCAAAATCTTTCAATCCATTCATCAATGACAAAACTTTAGGATTTACTTTATTTTTCTTCTGTTTTTGTTTGACTGCACCGATTCCTAAAAAAAAACTGCAAGAAAAGTACAAATTATAAGTCATCAAGAATACACTGTCTTCTGAAATGCAAGGCAATTGCCTATAGTGAGAATTTTATACAGTATAATATTAAAAAGAGAAGTTGGTTTGGTTGATTGTTGCGTGTTGTTTACATTACAAACCTGAGGATGTGACTTTGAACGGACTCTGCCCATTCAGGATTTTTACTGCATATTTCCGTGCAGAAAGAAGTCAAAACTTACAAGCAAATTACAAGCAAAAATTACACTTTATAATTTATACAAACATTGTGGGAGACGATAACAATATTATGTTAAAGAGGTAGCAGCCGCAGTGTTAATGGAACCTAATAAATACTATACAAAAAAGTGATGTTTTTACTGTTATTAGTAGTGTGAGTGGCTTTACTAGCAACAAGCCCAACATACAAAAATCATCAAAATTTCCTATCAAACTTTAATGGAGAGTTGTAATGTGCCTATTCAGTGAGTGTTATCCATTAGATTACAACTATAAATCACAATATTTTAACACCTAAACTGGACAAATAGAATATTTTTTATCAATGATGTCCTTACCGATCAATCCACTCTAAGGTGGCTTCTGTGGCTCGTGGATATTGGATGTTGAAATTGTAATAACTTGAAATAATCAAGCCTAGGGCCTTGATGGCTGATGTTGTTTCCAATACAACTTTCCCATCAATTGCAATCAATTAATTATTTGCCATAAAGGGTGATGAGCCTATGTGGAATAAAAATAGGTATTTTTAATAGAACAAGATTCAATAATGATTAATAAATCTTAAATACTGAGATTTAATTCAACTGGTGTCATTTGCTGTCAATATATGCAGTCTGTGAGAAGTGTTTAAATTGTTGTATTTTATGTATTAAATTCAACTATATAATAAACAAATGAAAATATAATTTAGGTTCACCTTTTGACATTTAACATTTAGGACTGTTTTTAGATGAGATCTATTTAGTGCATGCCCTTGAAATTCTGAAGTATAATTATTTTGCATGGGATTCTTTCATTGGTTATTAGGAAGAAGAGTGTACAACATTTCAACCAAGGCAATTCAACACAATAACGCACATCTGCGCTCTAGAACATAGCGCGTGCGTACAGTCCTTTGATCTTTTCTGTGGCATCGACAATCCGATACTAGTTGCAAATATAGCTGCCAATTATTAGTCTAAGCATACAATACGTTTCGTGGGGTCAATTACTAGTTCATCAATTTTGGATACTTCCCAATATTTGTTACATCTGATTCCTTTTGATCACATGTTTGTTAAGTGCTTCTTCAAACTGAAATTGTATTTGCGAAAATTAACCAACAAAATAAAAAGTTATAGCATATCAAAATTTACAATTTTTGTAAAATTTTATGTTCTTACATAACATTAAATTAAAGGTGCACAAAATGAGCATTTTACCATATACAGAACATTAATTTATTTTTTTGGCAAAGTGAGTCTTATGAACCACCGGACACCACCTCATTGGTAAAATTTGTGTTGAAATAACCATATAAATTTATTCTAACCATTATGCATAAAGTCATTAGGCCTTTGTAATCTCCACACAACACGCGATTATCATGGCAACTGACAATGCGTTGGGTAATTTGTCACACACGCTGATGGTTATTATGGTATGTATGCTATGGGGAGTGCGGCGCGCAGAATGTCGATGCCAGAGTTATTTCCTTTGATGTCCCAAAATGTGCATCCTTGTGTTGAATTGCCTTGTTTCAACCAATTTACTTTATTATCAGTAAATTTGTTATTTTAAATTTTTAAAATGACAGCGTGGCAGTTTAGTTAGTGACTTGAAAATCATGTATACATGAAGCATCACCATCTCTCTATCTTTGTGTGTGGTGTC